TTCACTTGTGTTAGCATGACGGCCAGTGTCTACCACGTGGGTGAGAATCGTACTTGTGATATATCAGGAACCACCTGGACTCATTTTTCATATGAATCACATATGACGGTTTCCGCAAATTTACATGAAACAATCCTTTCGCAGGGGATAGACTAAGAACATAGTTAGAGAACATGGTGATTGTCATTTAGAATTTCGATCGTTGACCGAATAGACAAGAGTTTCGGGTCCCAACTCAGCGGTTTATGGGACTACCGCAGTCAGTGACAAAACACGAGCAAGTCTTGTCCACCAGAACTGAGCATACCTTTCCTCCGTTACTCGGTGGTGGATTGTCGCATCTTCTCTGGCGTTGGGACAGACCCGCTCCACATGTGGCCGTGCATGCAGACCATGGAGTCCATGCACCCCAGGCTCCGTTCACCGGACAGAAGGCAACCAGACATGTGCGTGCCTCGGTGGCCTCACCGAAGCAATGTGCACCCCCGTTGCGTGGAGCCGGTTCGGTACAGGTGCGCGATCTGTGGAAGCAATCGGGACGGATCGAATTCAGAAAGCGAAGAGATGAGGCAACCATAAATAGAATAAATTATCATTCGTTCATTCATCTTTTGGTAAAAGAGAAAAAATATTCTCATTGTACCGTGCTTAGACCGAATACTTTCACAGAAGTGGCCTCGAGATCCAAACCCCTTCATTTGGATGAAAAAGCTTGCTTCAAAGCTTTGATTGAATACCAAAAATGTTAAACTTGAATTAAAAGTGTTGATAATATTCGTTTTTGTATGAAATAAATCGCAACACTCAGTTTCAGTCATAAATATAAGCTCATGAATTGGCAGCAGACTCGTAAATCTTCTAAATAAAAGGAGGCGTTCAAATAGTTAATTGGCAGGGTTGAAGTTTGCGTCGATTGTGAAAAGTTTAGTAGCCTCGGTGGGATTCACCTTGTCTTAGAAGCTCATTCGGTGGAGTCCGGTGAATTCTAAGAAAAACCGGTCGGGGCAATCAGCTTACATGCTAACTAGTGGATGCCACATGCCTCTGTAATTTGGATGGGTAAATTCGAATGTGAAAAAGATCAGTGCTATCGGTGTGGCCTCGTAGCTCAGCTGGTAGATCACGCGCGTACAAAGCGTAGGCGGCGTCCATGCGTGGGTTCGAATCCTACCGAGGCTACTGAACTTTTCACAATGGACATACAAAAGGAGACGTGTCCTAAAATTATGTGGTATACTGATTACACACAAAGGAAGCCTAACCGCAACATCCACCGATTCCGACATCGAGATGGAGGAAGAAGGCCACAAAAGCAGCTTCCTGTCCATTGAGAAAAATCAATCCGAGTAAATGCTATATACAAACAACGAACATTGGTTAGACTGGTCTTCGCCAGTAGCCCGCTTGTATTCTCGGCGTCATTTTGCTTTTTTTCAAGTCAGCGGTAGCCTATTGCACCCGGGTGGGTGAATTTTCAGCGTTGTATACCATAGTTGTGAATGCAAATATACAAAATCATATAAAATGAAACTGAAAGTTGCAGATATTGTGTTTGTCAATGAAGCAAGCAATTACGCTATTCTATGGAAAATTTCTCCTTGTCAACAAGTAAACGTGCGAGATATGACAAAACCATATTCACAATGATGATAATGTGGAGACACGGTCTTTGAAAATTCAATGTGTAATGGGTGATGCGTGTCCGAGGGTATTTTGGCAATAAAATTTTCACATCCTCCTAGATGTTTATCTACGATAGAGTCTGNTTTGTCTCTGACGATGCCACTACGTTTAGAGATGCGTTTTAGAGATCGCACCAGTAAATAAAACTCTTTAATCAACATTACGGGGAAAATCACCGGACAACAATACAACCAGTGGGGGAGTACGTATGCATTGACAAACCCAACTATCTACATTTGGGAAACAGAAAGAATAAGAAATATGAAAGTTTTCCAACTTTACAGAATGTGTTCTGAGCGTGCAGTGACCATGGTGAATTGTATGATGGTGCGACGCCAAGGTATTTTTACCATCGATAATTTTGGTACGGGNGGCTGAATATGGTACATCGGCCAAGAGGGAAAACACAACATCCTGACACTTTGAGGTATTCAATAAGAGGGACTGGGACAAGGACCAAGTAACAACGTCGTCTAGGTTGCTTTGAATTTCCAAAGCCTCTTCAGGTGTGGATGCTTTACATTCTAAAGCATCGTTATTCGCGTATTCACAGTCAATGAATGCAGTAGAAATGGGAAATGTTTTAGCATACATTGAGAAGAAAAATGAGGAAAATATTACACTTTGCAGAACACCAGCAGCAAACAGGCAAGTAGATTTCTTGCCATACAGGCACCTGAAGTGTGTTCCATTCATGAATTAACTAACAACGTTTGGATTAACACCACTTTCGTAATCAGGTTGAGCAATGCCAATCGATCAGGACTGCCGAATGCGTTTTTGTAGTCTAAGAACACCATGCTGACGGTTCTATCTAGAGTCGAAATTATTGAGTGACCAAGGTAAGCAAAGACATTAAGTGTTGAGCGTGAAGAGTGATATGCAAATTGACGTATGTCGTCTTCGGCCGACTCAGTGACAACCCACGCTAGCTAGCATCTCTCGAATAATTTAAAGTGGGAAATTTTAAGCTATCATAATAAGCAATGGGGACGAATGATTGCTATGAAATTCACGCGTTTGGTTCGATATGACGGATGCAAACAGTTTTTGAAGCACTGTAGAAGAGGCTTCATTTAAAGTATATGTAACATTGTTGGCATTCGTTTTGGTCCGATTTTAATTCATACCCACCCACTCATCCACCCCAAAGTGCCCTCATCAGTGTGTAACTGAAACCGAACTAGACTAGCAATCAGTCGATCGATCAATCAATCAAGGACAAGGAAAGAATATTCATGTGAAAAAAATAAATTTAAACACCAGTGGCGATTGATTTTCCTTGGCAGTGGCGTTCTCATTCAATTCATGCGATTCAAGTTCGGTATTCACATCCCTTTGGCCAATAGTCCTCCTAGTTGGTTCTTAGCGCACCAGACTTATTCAATCATCTAAATTATTCAGAAAAGTAGTATGGTTACAACGTTTCCGTGTATCCGGGATGAATTGGAAAACGCTCATCAAAATAAGATTATGGAAAACTGTACTTGCATTGTGCATTTCACATGTAACTGACCTAACTTCAATTATGCAATAGTTGAATAAATCGCGATTTCATCTAGATTGCACTCTGCATTGTTTATCTATAATTGCTGCAAAACTACCGTTGTCGTCAACTGATCAGAATTTCACCGGGTCAAAGGGAGTAAACATATCAATTTGTATTTGATTCGACCAGGAGACGTAATGTATTACCGCAATACTGTCTACAGTTGCTCTAACTGAACGAACGGAGGAATATTTTCGTAACGAACAGTAATGGGGATCATCCCCATGGACACTTAAATCTACCATTTAAACATCTGAATCAACCCAAGCATTCAAAGTATCGAATCACAGAAGTCTAAACAGAATGATAACATTTACCCGAATAGAGTCACTGAACATATTGGGGTGACCGACCCAATATGTAAACCAAACAATTACGGTTAGAACAGCAGTGACAACCACTTCGATCACTACCGTTCATAATCTCACCAAAGGTACAAATCGATTCATGTGCGTCATTAACCTCTTCTCACCTCGTTTGGCTACCGTGACCACATGTCTGGCTGCAATCAGTCCATGGGGACCAGGCAGACCAACCACCGTCAATTTCAACACGGAGGATTGCCGATGGCGAGAAATCCTCGCCCAGAATGGATGAGGCCACACAATGATACATTCCATCGTCCGTGGGGGAGATGCCCACAATGCTGTCGGGAGTGTGTGTGAGCGATCAAGATAAAGCAGATATAATATCAGACAGAAATAATTTTTTAATTGAAATAAATTTAACTAACAATGGCTTTGATTTCAATGGCATTACGAGAATACAAATCGTTTTGTATTAAGTTATTTTATGGGAATGAAAAATGGACACAACTACCGTAGAACCCGCGTGAAGTAGCAATTTAGTGTGCTTCTATTAAGCTACTCATTCTCAGCAGAAAAAGGGGACTGAAAGGATGAACTATATCAATTTTAAAAAGCACGTCTTCATCTGTGCAGTGGACAGAATACCGTACATGCTCGAGAGCCAATTACAGCAGACAATCCATGCCTTGTTCTAATTTCCCTTTCCTAGTTGGCGTCTTCTATGCATTTTCCCAGGTATCTTTAAACATTCGTTTACGCGAAACCATGAACGTTGTGCATGTGTCATACCACCCACATTCTATTTCAGTATTGGCCCAGTCCATGTGATACGTAATACCAGTGACTGTCCTCACTTTATGCCGGGCATCGTTTTTATCCCCTATGCCACCATGTCTATCCTGGATTGCTTCGCCATCCCCGTTGTCGTGTATCCTGATCTCTCGTTCGTCTTAGACCTCTCTTAGTCAATCCTGTAATGACTATTCACCAGCACGTTGACTCGTTTTCATTGCCTCCACCCCCCCCCCCCCCCCCCCCCCCCCCCCCCANCAACCCGCATTCATTCAACCGTGAGCTGAGCTCATACCCGGTTTTCTTTCTGACAGCAGCACATTGTTGTCAATTATTTCCATGGTTGATGATCCCCAACTATCAGTGATCTCTATCATTATGTATGCATTGCATTTACTTTAGTGACTGCCTCGTGAACGTTGTTATTGCTATTCTTGTTATTTGAATTTGCACTCGCCACTTGTGTAAGTCGGATCGGGATTGTCCCCCAGTCGGATGTTTGATGCTTTGCTTGGTCTGTGATTGGTTCGTTCAGTACACGCAGGTTACGATTTCTGAAATTCGGGTTCGTAACCCAGTGTCATCCGACCACTGGATAGCGTTAATCTATATATTGTGACCGATGTTTTGTGAAAAAGAAAGAAAAAAAATTTGGAACAGAAATGGTTGTTCACTTTCTAACCCACATATGTAACTGCAGTCGGCTTAAGTTGTTCTGGAGTGAACGAAGACTGATTTGGGGTGAACTATTATCACTGGATCAAGTTCGAGTTCCATGGTACACGGATGAGTTCGAATCGCATCATTACGGAGAGCATTTTCTTTTTTCATCCTTTAATTAAACACAACTGCATAATGCGTTTTCATATAGGGTGAAACGGTTATGCAAAGATCTGCCATGCGATACAAAGATAAGGAGGAATCCGATGGATGCCAACGGGGTTTCAAACACACGACCTCCGGAGTGATAAGTAGGTGATCCTAACGGACCTCACAAGTTGAACAAAAGCATACTACCTATACGGTTGTGAAAGTTTCAAACCGACTCATAACCCTGGTGTTGAAATGAGCGAGGTCCGTTGCCCGAAACAAGCTCGCAAAGATTGATAGTGCTATATCGTGTATATTCAAAATGAGAAACGGTCTGATCAGCTGATCAGAGTAGGTAGTATGTTTTGCGTTCTGCCTATGAGGTCCCGGATTCGATCCCCGGTTGGGCCGATGGATTCGCACTGCTGATGAGACCCAACCAGGTCGAAATAGCTATCCAGTGCTTCTTAGCTTTTCAGTTCACGCCTCATTTATACGACGAATTCATCATCTAGTTAAATCTAATACTACATTCCTCTCATACGCCAGTTAATGGAAAAGTATCCTATGTCCGGTCTATGGCTTTTACACATTACAAACTCGTTTCACAAAATCTGTTGATACCAGATTGATCGAATTCCGATTGTGAAATTGCGGGTGATGATTAGAAACCGAGAAATTTTTGGCAACAAAAAACATCTTACCGAAGGAGTAACTATAACAAGTCAAACTTTTTCCGCAAAAATCTGACATTTATTTGTACACCTTCAAATGTTTTGAGCGTATTTGACCCAATAGTTAGTGCAAATTAAAAATTCTACCAAATTTGTAATTGATCGACTGCGCAAAATATCGTAAATCAAATTCAACTGGCCCAATGAACCACATGAATGACGGATAGGGTGACTTACCGCAGGGAACCATTATTGATGACCGAGCGAGTACCACCCATTTCCAACAACTGTTTATCTTTGTACCACGTGATGGTTGGAGTCGGTTCACCTTCGGCACGGCATTCCAGAGTAACTACCGATCCCGCCCGTGAGGTGATGTTTCGCGGTGTA